GCTGGTGACGAGTCCTACTTTTTCCCCCGCCAGTAGCCTGCTGGATCTCTTTCTGACCACGCATCCTGCCCCTTACAGCACTGCTGTCCTGTCCCCCCTGGGTAACTCAGACCACGGTGTTGTGGAGGTTAGGTTTCGGTCAGAACCCGCTGTGGCAGCAGAAACTCGTACAGGCCCAAAACTTGGCATTACGGACATGCCGACTGGGAGGGGCTCAGAGATTTCTTCTCTAGCTTTCCTTGGAAGATGTCTGTTTCACTGACGCGGATGCGTCGCTGTCTGTTCTTCGATAACCGAAATTATCCACGTCGGAATGGAGGAATACATCCCTCACACAGTGAAGCCTAACCAGGGTCCAACGCTGGTTTAACAAATCGTGTGACTGCTCGCCAGCAGAAGATCAAGGCACACAGAACCTCTTACAAAACCCCACTGTAGAGAACAGACAAGCCGACGTGAGTCCAGAAACAAATATAAAGCAGCGGTTCGCAATGCCAAAAACCAGCATGATATAAAAGTTAGGTACAGTAATGTCGCAGCGCAATGGCAGTCGGTCTTTCCGAACTTCTCACACAGTAGCCTTCCACCACTTACGTGTCAGGATGGAACTATTGTATTCGACTCAAAGGCCAAGGCGGAAGTGCTAGCCAAGATCTTTGCTGCCAACTCCACCATGGACCCCAACGCCCAAGTGCCGTCAATTCAAAGGGTTCCCCACACTATGCGAGAGGTAACATTCAGGCATAAGACCGTAAGACGAGTGCTCTTGTCGCTCGACATCAACAAAGCTTCTGGTCCGGACTTGATTCCTGCCATTGTACTGAAGAGTGTGCACCGGAGCTTGCTCCAGTTCTTTCGCGTCTCTTCCAGATATCTTATGAATCCGGCACCTTCCCAGAAAACTGGAAATTTGCTCATGTCCAACCCATCCCAAAAAAGGATCTAAGACCGACCCTTACAACTACAGGCCTATAGCTCTGCTTTCTGTTTTAAGTAAAGTGATGGAGAGGTGCATAAATCGCGAGCTTCTGGACTACCTCGAACGCATGATTAGCGACAGGCAGTATGGTTTCCGGCACCAACGATCGCAGGGGACCTCCTAGCTTACGTCACTCAATTGTGGAGTAAACTCATCCAGTCTATGGTGAGGCTCATGTCGTTGCTTTGACATCACGAAAGCGTTCGATCAGCTGTGGCACGCTGCCCTCTTAAGCAAACTTCATCCTATGGCCTCCCAGAAAAGCTTTCAGATGGGTGGCTGACTTTATCTCTGCCCGCAAGATATCCGTCGGAATTGACGGGTTCTCCTCTTCATCCCACAACGTCAACGCGGGTGTTTTCCAGGGATCGGACTTGGCTCCGACACTGTTTCTCTTACATATCAACGACCTCCTTTCCTGCACAATCAACCCAATCCACAGCGAAGCGCCTCAATGTTATGACTAGGTGCTCACAATCTGGGTCTGCTCTTTGACTGCATGGTACCTGGTAATATGTATTAAGTACGACCTACCTTATTGACAAACAAACACGTATCACGCACTGGTCTTTCACAATATTACAGTTTGATAAATGGAGGGGTCGATTCGAACGGCACACGCCTTTAATATTTAGCGGACGGTACGGGAGCAAAATCCGAGCGTACTGAGGAACACATACTTGAGCAGCGCAAAAGCGCCGAAGGGCTCAGCGCAACGTTGCCAAGTGTGTCCTGACTTCCGACATTGGGGGAAAAGCGCGACGGTTATGGGGCAAGATCGCGAGTGTAATCTCATTAAGGGTCACGCCGACGGCACAGATCTGAAATATATGAGATACATGCAATAAAATCCTGGACCCAAGTCGACTTTCACAAATGACAGGTGTTTGATCGAATTTTGATCGAAGTACGGATAGGGCCTTCCGGACTTCATTGGGGTAAACCGCTTGGTGGGTGGCTAGAATATGTTAAATAATCACGATTTCGTATATACACCGCGGTTAAGTGCCATAGGGGCTGCAAAACAATGTTCCGGGGCACAGTCGGCAAAGCCGCTTTGTGGGCTGCTGGACTAGCATAATTCTACGAGATACATGCAATAAAATCCTGGACCTAAGTCGATTTTCACAAATGACAGGTGTCTGATCGAATTCTGATCGAAGTGCGGATAGGGGCCTTCCGGACTTCATTGGGGCAAACCGCTTGGTGGGTGGTTAGAATATGATAAATAATCACGATTTATCGAAAAAATCCTGGACCTAACTCGATTTTGGAAAAATTATGATTTTTTTCGTATATACACCGCGTTAAGTGTCCTAGGGGCTGAAAAACACGGGGCACTCTCGGCAAAGCCGCTTTGTGGGCTGCTAGACTAGCATAATTCTACGAGATACATGCAATAAAATCCTGGACCTAAGTCTACTAATTGAAGTCCAGGGTCAGGGGACTATTTTAAAGGTCAAATGTGTGCTGCTACGAAAACCTCTTTAAATCTCACAACTCGTTAATAAATTTTAACAAGGGAGTGGACCCTGACCTTGACCTTCACCTTCAAGGTCAATTTCATTCTTTTAACGAAATCCCTATTTTCATGCCGGCAATCGAAAGAGCGAAACATTTTATGTTTCAAATACGAATTGAATACCAAGGTCATGGTGACCACTAAAGGTCAAAATCTAGGAAAACCACTAGGAATCTTACAGGATTAGTGATGAAAAGAATAATCACGGTCAGGCGTTTAGTTAACCCGCGTCTACTTCAAGCTCTGTGTGTCTCGTTCTCGCTTGGATTTCAATCTGCACCCAATGAAGTAAGCACACAGCAGACAAAGATATGCCTCCCTGACTTGCTTCTGAACCCCAAAGCAATTATGAAATTCATAAAATCAAGCCGCGTACTATGGCTAATGGACCTTTAAACTAAACTAAACTAAATAGTTCCCTCATGAATGTGTTTACCAACCTTTAAAAAAAACTATATCGAAGACGCAACATTTTGAGACACCATGACTCAACCTATAAAACACTTCTGTATATCTGGAACTTTGCTGGGATATAATGATCACAATTAGATATTGGTATGTATCTTTCTATTGTTCTGGGACCTTCAGGGACGTAAAAATATATTATATATAATTTGCAAGGCCAACGAAAAAGAAAAACACCTTTTGTTTCGGCTTTCAGTTTCCTGAAATAGAACTTCACTGCGTGATTGACATTAGGGTTAAGTCAGTACATATTCCAGACAGTCGCCAGGTGTACCGAGGTTCCACTAGTCACTTCCGAGAGCTCGGTGTCTAACTTATGTGATAGTTGGGGATACCTAGCTGAATCGGGAATATCCTGATCTCACCAGCTTTCGCAATTACAACCGAGTAAGGCCTGCCTCACTAGTCACTTCCGAGAACTATCTACCTTGCGAGGGAGGAGGTCGTACTCGGAGAAATTGAGAATACTGCCTGGTAGATGGGGTCAGGTATGTCGAATCACCAGTCGGATGTATAAATATGTGCAAATAATCTTCAATAAAAGCGCTTATGGAGGTCCCAGAGTATCGCAATTAACCAACACTGGCGCGCAGAGTCTACCTACTTGACACTCAACTCTCAAAGTGCCCAAAGTAAGAGCTATAGACCAAACGGGGCGGTACGGTTCGGCAATCTGTCGGTATTCGGTTAGATTTGTTTTAAAATATTCTTAAAATCTAACTCACAGTTTTTTTTTCTTCGGCAAACTAGTTCGGTCAATATTCAAAAATAAAAGGAAAAACAAACAACTCTCTTCTAAAAATTCGTATACCAAAGATATACACTGAAAACGGTACGCTACAATTTCTATCACTAAAGAACGAGTCAAGCAGAGAAAAATAAAATAACTTGGAGTCTGGATTAGGCTTTATACGGTAAGCAAAATTTCAACAACAAGAAAATATAAACCCAGAACCTCAAAAATACTTCACTTACGGTTACCAGAATTACAATTATATCACTAAAACGGAACGCACTGGAATCATCTGTAACGAGCACCGTATGTCTCTCGTTAAAACTTACCGAAAGTCGACTTAATTTTTTTAATGGAAACCCCTATTTTTGATGCCGGCAATCGGAAGTACCTTCAAGGTCATTTCAAAATCAACTATATTTTCCCAAATAGAAACGCTTATTTGATGCCGACAATCCAGAGAGCCGGAAAGTTCATGTTCAAATGTGTATTATTCAAGGCCAAGGTGACTACTAAAGGTCACATAAAGGCCAAATGTTTGCTGCTAGGAAAACTTCTAGACATCTCACACGAATAATGACGAAAATGACTGGCAAGGTCAGATCTTTGGGTAAGCTTTAATGAGTGTAATCGTTACAAATGATGTTTAACGTGTTTAACCGATACTGTTAATATTTGAAAAAAAAATTCAATGTCAAATCCAAGATCACTCGTCAAAGTTTACTACAGACCTGACCTTGATAGTTATTTTCATCATTAATCCTGTGAGATTTATAGAGGTCTTCCTAGCAACACATTTGACCTTTGGACTTTAAATGTGTTTGAACGTAAAATGTTCTGTTCTTTCGATTACCAGTATCAAAAATAGTGGTTTCTATTTGAAAAATAAAGTTTAAAGGGATTAAACCTTGAAGCTGAAGGTCGAATTCAAGGTCACCTGAATTCCTTACTAAAAGTTACTGAAGACCTGACTGACCTTTTCCAAAAATACCTTACCCGAGAAAATACACAGCCGTTCCGGGACTTTTAGATCACGCTGTATGTGCCGCTCTGTGCTCATTTACACCACGTACTAAACAAACGCTTGGCGAGCATAGCCACAGAGCACCAATAAACTGCGTTTTTGTTAGGGAACCTGCTATATTTGTATATGAGTGGTTGGCTAACTGCGGTGTAAATATAGTCACTGTTGTTTTCCATCAATCATTGACATCGAACAGCTATTATAGGTTATGTGTGATAGATAAAATTGCAGTGCATAAAAAATTCCACACTCTTTTATAGTCAAGGGTCATGTGTACCTGGATGCAATATTCCGATCTAAGGCACAGATTTCGCTGTTGCTTTCCATCATCACTGACATCAAACGGCTGTTATAGGCTATACGAGATAGCTAATACATAACAGTATATAAAGGTGTTCACACACTTTTATAGTTGAAGATTCATATGTACTAGAATGGAATAGTGCCAACCAAGGCACCAATTTCTGATCATTCTGATGGAATGTTGCTGGAAAGCTGTTAGAAATGATGATGCTTTTGAAATCGCAGAAACTTTACATAAAGGGGTGTTTTATTCAAGAATTTGTCTGACGTGCCCATCAAAAGTGTCAGTTTAAGTAAACTTTAAATTTAACCTGCAATTGTTAAAATAGTGATAATAGATCAATGTATCATTTCAGTCTATTAATTATTTGAAATAGAGAAATGATGTAAATTTAAATTTTCTTAACATTTAGAGAATTAATTCTACATATTCAAAAAATATATTTTCGATATGCCAATATAAATAATAACTCATCTACTAAATAAGATGCGGAAGGCTAGTTTAGTAGTACGTACATAAATGCTCATTACTTTGAAAACTAAGGCCGCGTATAAATGTAATTACAATCTGTTCTTACGATGCACATAATGGTGATTAATCTCTTTTTGTGAAAACTGTCAAGGTATAGGAATGTATTCTTCAATTAAGAAGTACCATGGATTAACGTATATTCAGGTAGAATAAGATAATGAAACTAAAAAATGAATTAACAATCAGTTTTATAACTGTCTATAAGTCTATATACAAATTGGTTTGAGTTTATACCTTACGTATGTACTGCTTGCATTTTTCTTCGTAAGGAGATCAAATGTTCGATGATGTCTTGGGATATTTCGAGTTGTATTTGCTGACCGTTATTGCGCCATGATAACACAAAATAGTGTACACCAAATGTACTGCTTGGAATTCCCATATATCCCATAATCTTAAATATTCGGTTTCAACGGCACGGCATTACTTGCAGCACAGGCCGTGAAATCGTGGCTTTACTGCGACAACAACTCGGCAAGCAGCCATTTCCCATTATTGAACCTAGATCGTTTAGTTTCACTCCTCTTGGCTTTTTCATTTGCAGCTATAACAACATGGATAAGAGAGTGTGAATGAGGAATTAGGAATCATCATTAATCCAATAAATCGCCAAATACTGCTCCAAATGCAAGGGCGTGTCTTCGAAAACAAAGTAATGACAAACATGTGAGTAAACAGTTTTCAAGAATCAACGTCATGAATGCTTCTTTTGTTTGATAATAAAGGTAATCTGACACAGTTGATGGTTTCTAATTTTTTATGTCCTTGAGAAAAGTATCTCTAAACGTCGATTTAAAGCTCTGACGTAACGCTGCCGCTAGCAGTTGAAATCGACTGATAAACTTGATAACGTTCCGGCGCGTGTCGCGTAAATTAACCCAAAGTTGCATTCTGGTTGACACACAAGAGGTGCCGACAATTAGATATATCCAAAACAATTTCAAGTGACTTGTCAACGTAAAAGGTAGTTCACTAAGTTAATTGACGTTCATTCCTACTGAATTTTGGTGAGAGGAATGGTGTAGCGACATTTTACCACTTTGTTTACCACTCGCTGGCACTCATTCTAGGTTTCCATTTTTCCTCAGGAAAGAACGCCCGTGTATGATCTGCCATTGGACTTATTGTTCACCAGCTCAGTGTTTCAAATTGAGGTACAACCGGAAAAGTTGGAAATTTACAGTATAAACTCCTTTCTACTGAACATCTTAACGACGTATAAATAAAAGCTACTAGTGTGACCGATAGGTTAACTAATCTATACAAATACGGCAAAACAGGTTCAAATTGACTAACATGTGTTTTATCCGCTAAATGATCGCTTATGGCAATAGTTTGTACCAAAGAATTTAAAAATATTTGTAGAGCATTTTTGAAAGCAAACAAAATATAACTAGTACGGAAAATTGTCAGCTTTTACGTCGATGAAACGTATTGCATCAATACAAGAATGATCAGCTCAGAATTTCTTATTTACACATATTGAATTCGAAGTTTTTAATAATCACAATAAGTACCACATGCCCTTTAAAAATCATTCTCATTTAATCCTTATGATTATAATCAGAGCTGTGGCAAATGGTTTTACAAATAGTTTTTTATACCAAGCAGAAATTTTAAAGATATTATTGTTTACAACCTACAACTAAAAATTCATATTATCATTCAGAACATATCTTGTTTTTTAACTTTTTTGATAAAAACAAACTATTTAGGTAAATAACATCTTTTCCCGTTCTTCATGAAAGTATTTTGCAATATTCTTGTAGTTGGCTCAAAGTTTTATTCTGCAAATTTCTGAATACAGGCGTATTCAAACCACATTACTTACTCGGTAAATAGTATAGCGCATATAAAACTCTTCTGAATCGAGTACGAACGACAATAATGCAAAAATGTTTGAGCCGAGCTGTAAAAATAGTATAATCATATAAAAGATATATAATCAATATCACAGCTCTCATTATAATGTGTTAATAAGTTACAAATGTATATACATTATAGAATCTAAAATATGCAAAAATTGATTCAGATACATCATACAAAATGAACAATTTGATTTACCAAAACTACCAACATTATAATTTCTTGGTATTTAACTGAAATATACACTCAAAAATTTATCTAAGGATTGACATACTAAAATAAAGAATTCTAAAAGAGTAATAAATTTATAATAATGAAAGTGTGATTACCTCTTCAAGAGATGCAAAATTAACAAACTAAACCTGATAAACAAAAAATTCAAAATAATTACGTCTTTCATCAATTGCACTTTCTATAACGTGTTATGCGAATTTTTATCAAAGAGTAAAAAAAATACTAAAAAAATTCGTTATCGCTACTACCATTAGATGTTGTTGTTGATATGTTGTGTGTGTTAGTCGAATCGTCCAAACCCTGGCTGCCTGCAGCTGTAACAAAAATATTCACTAAATAAACTCATAATGCAATAGCATAGTGTACTTTCGTTTTACCATACTGACGAGCAAGCATTGTAATCGCGTAAAATTTCGATTGTGATATTTTTTGGATGTTATATGACATGTACATCACGAAAAACCATGTCACTCATTCCTGTTGTATGTACCTCTGTCAGTCCGCTAGTAAGAAATGTTTACACAAGGTTACTACTATGCCAAGGACAAAAAAGATTTGTAGATGTTGAAAATTGGTCCAGTGGCGGCGGAGAAAGATTCCAAAAACAAAAAAATGACAATCGTTCATACTTACATATACATATTCTGACGTTTCAGAGGATCGTGATCATTTTTGAAATCGTATTTGAGGGTAAAAAATTACCGCATTTTTTTCGTATTAGTTTATTAATAAAGTTCCAACCGCCCGGGAATTCTACGCAACTATTAAGACATATTTAACGCATCAGTGTAGCGTTTTTGTGGTTTCTTTTGGGTGTGGATTAAAACACTGGGTTCCACAAAAAGACATGCACTAATGTATTTAACTTGATAGAACATTTATGTACACCACTATTTATGTATGACTAATTCTTATGTCGCGCCAATGACTGAACTATACTCCACTCTGCTTCCATCTCCCGGCCGTCGATTCGAGAAGAGTCCAGCGAGCCACAAAGCGGAAGTCTAGAATATTCGAGGTCACTTCGAGTCGATCTGGAAGGCGAGTCACTGGCACGGTCCTCGACAGATGTTGCCACCAAAGGAGAGTGGCTGGCACGGTCCCCAACAGAGATTGGCCATGAAGCAGCTCGCGAGTAGGCGCCAACGGTACGATTCATTCGTACTACACTGTTCCATTCCTAAAGTCATTTCGTCCCGGAATGATCTTACTGGCGGTGGATATATATATATATATAGGCACGACTGCCCTTTCTTGCAGTAGGAGTTCTTGAAGAAGTAACAATCCACACTCTTTCCAGAAGGTAGCCGTCTAGGATTGTGACAACATACCAGAAATCGAATGCCTGTATACCGGAAGACTACCTCGAGCATGCCTCGGATGATTCTCCAGTCCAGGTTGTCCAGTCCACATGCCAGCTTAGGTATTGCCAGTTTTCTCAGGTCTTCGACAAGCAACACTTCTCTAAGAGAACACCAAGCGTTCCAGACATCCTCCTAATTCGGTTTCTGGCACGAAGCTTTCTTGGTAACCAAATAGATCTTTCGGTTGATACCCTCTTCAGTTATCTGGAGTACTTCTCCGACTTCCGGGTTAGATCGTCGCAGCTCGTGCACTCTTCCAAACCTCTTAAGACCTTTGCTATGCCTCTCGACATTCGCAAGTGGAGCCACATAGTGTGGCCAGGGCTACTCTGGTGAAGTGGTAAACAGATCTTGCTGTACTTCACGTGTCACGCCATACCGACTCTTATGGCCATTAGCATAAATTGGTCAAATGTCATGTTCGGTTCTGGTTGGATTTGCCGCTCCGCCCCATCTACGTTGTTTTCATGATAAGGGGCAAGTCGATTGAAATGTACAATTCGGGCTTTACCACGTGGTGCCTTCTGAATCCTGTAGAGAACATGATTGATGGCTTCCAGAACTTTATATGGCACGTTCCAGGATGAGTGAAGTTTAGGCGCGCAGCCCTTTTCGCCTCTTTGGGTCGTAAAGCCAAACCATATCACCGTTGTCATACCTCTGGTCTTTGGCATTAACATCATAAGCTTCCTTCATCGTGGCGCTGGCACTTCGAATTGAAACACGAACCTGGCTATGGATGGCGTTCATTCTTCTACGCAGATCACTTATGTAGTCTTCTCCGGCAACATCAGTTCCTGGTGGACAGCCAAACTTTAGATCGCATGGGATAGGAAGTTCTCTTCGCATAACTATTCGAGCCGGGATCTCGTGGTTTCATGATTCGACGATCGGTAAGTCAATAAGAGGAGGTGACGAAAGCTATCCCAGTCACCATTCCATCTGACTGCGGGTGTAAGGCAGTAGCCTTGATCTTAATCCTAAGGACTTGACATATTTTGGAACAAATTTGACTCTAAATTGCGCCC